AAAAAAAAATATTAAAACAGAGAGGCAAATTGGGAATTCCTCAAATGCCTTTCCCCCTTTGAGGATTGTAACTAGAGGATATAAGTTATTTTTCACTAATGAAAAAAATAAGAGATGGAAATGGAAAAGAGGTTCATCTAAAACCATAAAAACGAACTGATACGCATGAAAAAGAATGCAAAAAATAGAACCTCGGTTTTTTTTGGAGTTGGTAAAGAACGCTTATGACGCCTCCAGGAAACACCCTGCACGTGCATCGCTCTCCGAAAAGCCCGACTTTGTTCCTTAAACTTAACCTCATTTTTTAAAACTTTTTCATTTCTAAGCAATAGAGCAGCTGAATAACAACCTCCTTCTCTAGCCGCCTCCTCTCTTCCATAGACGAACGATCTCTTAACACGGGTTTTGAAATGCCTTCTTCAAGCTCCTGAAAAAAAATGACAAAATGAAAGCTATCATGAGTCGGAATGTTTGCTTTCTGGCAACTTGAGCCCTCATTAAATTCTAGAAATGAAAATAACCTTCGGATTTAACTCTGTCTGCTCCTCCTCATCAGAAGACTGTCCACAGTTGGAGCACATCCAAACATGGTTCTTTCCAATCTTTGGCATTTTAGTCAATGGAGGATCCAAACAAGCCAGATGAAAATGTTTCTTGCAAAAATCACAATACACTAACAAGTGGCGATCTGTGGACTGCAATTTTGCTCGTTTTAAAAAATCGTTTCCTTCAATTTGCCATAAAACACAATTCTACCACTCTCATTTTTTGAAAATTTTGGAAAAAATTGAAAGAAAAGATATATCCTTAAATTATGACAAAGAAATATTCTGATCTAACACCTTCTGACACGTGTCGCAAGTCTCAACATGAATAGAGTTTTCTGCCGTAGATAGCGACTTCTCAGCCACTGAAGACGATCTGGGAGACAAACTTGACGATGGCTTCTGCTCCATAATTGAAGATTTCCTTGGGCGCCCAACATGCCTCTTCTGTTTCCTTAAAAGCGTTAAACGTGATCTCAGACACGCAACAAATTTAAGAAAGGTGAAAAGGACAAGAATGTCAGTATAGAAGAACTCACACAGGTGGCTTCACTTCAGTGCTCGCCTTCGGGTTTTTTATTTTTTTCACTCCTAGCCGTACTAACAATGAATACCAGCCATTCAACGTTGCTAAAGTCGCGTCAAGACGATCTTTAGCTGAAGTCCTTTGAGCCTGAACAATTGAAAACAAGAAGTTATAGCTGCAGTTAGCAGCAAAAAAAAAGCAGCTGCATCATAAAAAACCTCAAGAAAATCAGCTTCAAGCTTCTTATGTTTCGCACGTAAAAGGTCAATTTCCTGCGCCAGTCTTCGTTCTTCCTCCAGCTCTTCTGGAATGATATGCTTCTCCCGTGCATCAAAATAGCTAAAAAATTTCTAAGCATGATGTTTTTCCTTTTTTTTTTTTTTTTTTTAAAAAAAATTAAAAAGAAAAGGAAGAGGACAAAGAACAAATAATCCAGTTTCTAAAACTAGGCTCTACCGTCGAGTTAACATTTTTTAATGAATTCAAGGTATAAATTTGGCTACAGTTGCCTAACAAAGTTTGAAATCTACAAAGTAAAAATCAAAAGATGAAACAAATCTTTTAAAAGATAATAACTAGCTAAACTTTATCAGTTATAATGTGGTCCCCTCTAATTTTCAACTTTATTTACTAGCCTAACTGGATGGCTCATAAGCAGTTTCAGTTTACTTTCACTTGAACGCATTTTATAAAATTAAAACATGGCTGCAACTGACCATCATATAGTCACTTAAAATTTTCAAAATACGGTTCAAGTTTTTTCGCAAAGTAAGGTGCTTTAAAATCAATTTAGAAATGTCAAAAAATCGTTCTTTAGAACTCTGCAATAAACAACTGTATGTAATTTTTCATCATTTGAATGTGGACAATCAGGGCCCTTAAATGCACTCGTCTATAATTTTCCCTTCGCGCTTACAATGAAAAAATTGACGAAATTTACTCTTTACTGTCAAAAAAGAAAACTGTAACTGAAATAGCAAATGGCATAAACATGGCTATAGTTCTGCAACTAAGTTTTAAATCTAAAAAGTAAAAACCCTACTTTAGGCCCAATACGTATTAATAGCAGTATCAATGCAGAACTGATGGAAATCACTTCTCCCTTCAAACTACGACAATGAATTTTTCAAATTTGCCAATTTCGTGGTGAAACTGGCCAACTGTTACAGCGCCGAAGTTAAGTTTGCAAAATAAGAACCCTGTTTTCGCCCTCTTAAAAGTGGTTACTTTTAAAAGCTCCTGTATCTTCCGGAACTACAAACAACAATGGACACTATATTACTAACTTGTAAAACAAAAAACTTAGCAAGACCTCATAAATTTAATAAATAAAAAGTTGAGATCTTTCAAGTCTTTCTTCAGAACTTCTCCACTGAAAGAAAACTCTTGTCATGCAAATAAAAAATTGGGCTTAAACTGTTTGTAAAAATTACCAGTAAACGGCTATTTCGTAACTCACTCAAATCGACATAAAACAACAAAAAACTTTCACCTGAAAAATTCTTTCGAGAAAGCAGGAGGAAGATATGACAGTTTAGATCCATCAGCAGTATTGAATTCACGCAAAAACTCCGACTTCCCCAAACCTTCGCCTTCGGCTTTCTCCATAAAGAGCTGAAGGAACTTCGGAGAGTTATGCAAGTAACGTACATTCTTTCGTTCATCCTAAATATAACAGAGCTGAAAAATGACATCACTGGTGACGACACCTTCTACTCTGTTTATTAGGAAACGGAGGTTTATAAAATCGCAAAAAAATATCGACTGTCGTTCACAAGTAGGCATACTTCAGGCCAAGCGATAGTAACACCCTCAAGATCCTTGACAGTCCTACGATGCTTTGCAAGACTCGATAACCTGAAAACAAAAAATAATAAAAATGATACGAACAATAAAAATAATAGAATAAAAACGCAGGAAGAAAATTTAAGCTCGAAATAATTTAATAATTTTCATGGGTTTAGATACCCTCTAGCCAAAAAAAAAAACTTAATACAACTGCGAAGATACTTACTGCCATAAAACAATCTTAAAAGACATTTTAAAATTTGAATAAAGTGGCCGCTTATGTAAGTGACCATAAAAACATTAAATACATAACAAACCTACAAATATACCTCACACCACTGCTCAGTTAAAAAAAAATGATTTCTCAGCGGTTTCCCAAGTGCAGTCTGTCGTACACTTTAAATTCTAGATTTTTAAAGACTAAGAAACTATAAAACAATTAATTCAATCTAGTACCGTGCTTTTTCTTGTAATTCGCTCAGTGCATTTGTGCGCCGGTTTAAATCTATCATTCTTGTTTCCTCCTGCTTGTAAAAGTAAGAGCAGCTAAAAAATAATTTTTACTTGCCAGCTATCGAACAAGAAACTAAGTGAACAAATTTTTTAGACGAGAAATACAAAGGCAGAAACTAGGAAATGTAAACTATCTTGGACAAAATAACGAAATAAGCGTACGCTACTCTCCTTCTCCTTACAGCGTCTTCGTCCACACAGTGGCGTTTGCAAGACAGATAATAAGTATCAGCAATTTCCTCATCTGTAACGTACCTGAAAACAATTCCGGTGCCTCAACAAAACTACACAGTAAACAGAATTTGACAATATGCAAGAGGATACATAAATGACAGCTGCTTACCAGTCACCATTGTTTCCAGTTCCTGATATACCACGTTCTCTCTTTTTCATTAGAATATTATTTTCCGAATTATCAATCAGTAATCCTAACCTGAAGAACATACGAGCAAAGAATAAAATAATGAACCATGAAGTGAAATTCAGAAACAACTAAAAGAACATCTAAAAATATCACCATATTACAAACAAATGAAAAACTTAAACAAACACCAGTACCTTTGTGCACATGATATATGATAATATGCTTTACATAGACCTGCATCGCACGCAACCGTAACTCCCGTCCTAGCCGTCACGGGGTCTGGACAAGCAACGCATGCCTTTAAATGAAATTTAAGAAAACGTCTGACCAATT